CTCATCCTCCTTCTCCCCCTTCATGTGTATTTTGGTTTTAGGCCACCTCGACCAGGCACTCCCGAGATGTCCAAAGTGAAGGCAGCCCCTTCGATTTCAAGTCATGCAGCCCAAGGACAAATCAAGCAAGGTAAAAACCGCTCGCTTCGGAACCGCTTGCTGTGTCCCTTCAGCTCTTGACGCCCAAGTTAGCACCTGGTTGTCACGTGATAAAGATATTGCTTAGCTCCTTTGTGGGAGGAGAAAGTAGTGTAGTGGTCTAAATAAACCCCAACTTTGTCTTTTCAAGCTGTATGACTACAGAGGAACTTGCTGTATGTGAATCAATTGCACTTTGCAGAATACACTTTGACATTTACCACAAGGCACAAGCTTTAAAGATTTACTCTGAAGCTATGTGTATGTCCTCCAAATGTCTTTAAGCTATGGAATTGCTCTAGTATTAGAGAGCTACTAAGCACAACAGGTAATTTGTACATCAGCAGGGGAATTTTCTTCACTTGTATGCAAAAAAGGGTGATGTTTGTATCTGAGGAGAAAGGCTGCCCACCAGCAATACTTCTGTGTATTTTTTTTTTTTTCCTAGAATATAAATATTCATTTACTGTCATCTTTGGTTGGAAAGGGAAAAGCAGCATCAGGACTTGCATGTGTAAAGCTTTTTTTTTTTTTCCCCATGATCAGAGGGGCTACATAAATAGAGAATGAGCAGTCGATAACAAAAAGCAGAAATAAAGTCAAGACTCTTGTCTCAACAGGTGGTGGTTTTTCAGTTTTGGTTTGGGGGGAACATTGTGTTTTCTGTGACTTTTATTTTTTTAAACAGCCGTTTCCTTTTCCCCTTTGAAAGCTAATTTTCTGAAAGGTCAGGACTCCTCAGAGATAGTATCTGTAGGGCAAATTCAATGCAAGAGAAAACAGCACCGAGAGGATCAGGGTCTGTGTTTTGTTTTGGAAGATACAGTCCCGTTATGATTTCACTTTCTCAACTGACAACTGCTTAATTTTAATTTGAGTTAGCTTGGCTGACTTCAGGGACCCACATACTTCAGTGTTTATATTTAAGCAACACTTAGAGCTTTGAGAGAAACAATTGATAGAAATGAAATTGTGTGCTGTCAACAATGCAGAGAACCGCTCCTGATGCTAATTTGTCACCTCTTTCTGTGTCTGGTGGGACGCTCAAGGGGGGAACCAGGGTAGTTTCTGACTGGGCAGGTTTCCTCAGTGGCTTACTTTCCCATCCCCTTCTGCACCACTTGCAGTATCTAGCCGCTCATGAATTTCTCGTGCTGCTCTTCTCTAAAATCAGTTAAATGCGATTAATGCATTTGGTGCCGTGCCTGATCTCCGTCAGTTTGACCTGTGTTTGCCCCGAGACGAGCACAGCTCCGTGCTCCTCAGCTCCCGGGCCAGCTGCTTCCACTGCGGGGCTTGGTGTAATTCCTGACCCTGGAAGAGCCCAAACAACTGCAGCAAAATGAGGAAAAACTAAAACCTTCAGCGTCAGACTTAAGGTTCAGTTAGAGGTGGTTTTGTGTTTTTACAAACAAGCTTTTTCATCTGATAAACAGCTTTTTTTTTTTTAATACAACTACCGAAAGTAGCTTTTGCTCTGACGATTTACGCCGGTCGTCCTGTCACCGTACACGTGCCACCGTGGTGCGTTTGTGCAGCAAGGATGGCAAAAGGAGTTTTGCTGCAGATGTCGCACGGTGACAAAAGAAGTTCACTGCCTGGAAAGCAAACAGGCGATTCGGGAGACAATGCTTAATCGGGCCGGAGCTTGAACCCATTGTTGTTCTGCAACGGAATAAAAGAGGAGGATTAATTTGAAGATGCTTGTGCATGACATATGGTAATGTCCCTATAGGAAGGAAGTGTCAGGGAGCGACCTCTAAATCTCCACGTTGACCTCGGGGTGCAGCATGTGTGTGCCATAAGGGCTGCGCGGCTTTTCATGTGGTAATAGTAAGCCGGGAAGCATGAGTACAAGTCGAATGTTTAGGACTGCTTTTAAATTACGTTTACTCCAAGAAATGATGCAGCTTACAAAATAAATGTCGTGGATGCCACTTTCTTTGAGCAACCTGGGTGGACTGTGCTCTCATATATTTGCTTGCCTGGAGCAGGCTTTGTGTGCTTTTTCTTTTCGAGTCTTTCTTTGGTACAGGTTTAAAATTGTTTGAATGGAGACACTTGTAAAATGAGCTTGTATTAAAACTATCCGTCAGGAGCACATTCGGTGATGTTTCAGCGTGACAGATGGGGCAGCCCAGGTTTAAAAAAAGGGCTCCTTTGGGGTGTTATTAATGAGGAGCACAAATTCCAAATCTAGCTAAATACATGAAAAGCACAGGAAGAAGCAGCAAACCCCCTGTTCTTAAAATTCATGGTCAAGTGTGTTGTCAAACCGAGCCTGGCTCTCTGAGACCCGTTTGTAACGGCTTTATTTGCAGGTGCTCCTGTCGTTCCAAAACACGCCAGTCTGTTAGCGTGTCTGTGTTTCTCTGCAGTTGCATGTCCTCCTCTCACTGGCATTGCACTTCTTGTAAAACCTAGAAATTATTATTTTTTTTAAGTTTAATATTACCACGGTTTCCTCCAGTTTTGTTTTTCATTCTTCAGTGATACTAATCTGTTTTTTCAGAAGCCGCTCTCCTCACTTTCCTTTTTATTTTTTTTTCTTTCTGTTTTTTCTTCTTTCCTCTGCAAGTCGCTCCTGCTGTTTCTTCTAGCACTGAAGCTGGTCACTCTGGCTCTGACACTGCTCCTACTTTACATACCTGTTTCTTAGTCAATGAAGGTATTCTTTCCTCACTTTTCTATCTTATTTGTCTTTTACTTTCAACTAATGTCGCTTATCATTGTTACGACTTTAATTTGATCTGCGTAGGGGTTTTTCTTTGCGCAAGAGAGGCAACGAGGGGATTTGTTAATGCTGGCAGGGGGTGAGCAGGTCCAGTGTGTGGGGCTTGGACTGCCTGTAAATTCAGTTCCCAGCTAGTGTGTCAAGGTGTATCCCTGTCGACAAATTGAGAATTTTTATGCCCTTGTTACTAAGCTATAAATTCCTGCTTTCATGTATCTCAAGTAGTAGAAGCAGCACTCCCTTGAATTTGGAACTTCCTCTTCTTCAAGGAAAATAGCCCTAACAGTTTCTTTTCTCGTAGCTCCATCAAGAGCTCGATGAGTTAAAATATTTAGATCTTCATGCTCAGTATCGCTGACAAATCTAAAACTACAGATTGATGTGCTTGCCTCGAGTATTTCTCAAGCCCGTGTAGAGCATAATACTAGAAGGATTCTTTGCTACTGACTACTTTACAAGCATTTTTACAAGCTACGTTGTTTGATATGCTTATCTTTACTGGTTTTAACTTCTCAGTGTCGCAGGCTTGTAGTAGGAATCCACCTAAAGTGAAGGAAGCTTTAGATGGAGAGATAAGAAGAGCAGACAAGCACGTGCTTGTACCTATTAGCATAGCTTTAAAAACGAGCCTGAAAATTCTGTGTCATCTTCCCAGTGGTAATTCCTATGCTAAGTTCTCTAACTGAATTATGTCACACTGCTGTGTAGGGCATTAAATATAAGTAATGCAAATTATGCTTTGGACAAGGCTTCGAAGTCTTGAACTCTGAGCTATGGCTTCTGCTTTTGCAAAAAAAAATAAAAAGCCCTCCTATTTTAGGGCCTTGATGGCATTTGGAAGCGCGTAGGTGTTGTTGCGTTACCTTGCGGGTGTGCTGTGTTTCGCCAGGGTGGAGCCAGCTGGCCGCCATGCACTGCGTGATGCTGCCCGACCTGCTGGGGCTGGACAAGTTCAGACCTCCCCTTCTGGAGATGCTGGCTCGCAGGTGGCAGGATCGATGCTTGGAGGCGAGTTCAGTAATAATTTCGTACTGCTAAGGTTTGGGGGGGGCTTGTGTGGTGTTTTACTGATCATATTTTCCCTTATTATAAAGAAAATCCCTAATTTTTTTTTCTGATGGAAATTCCTGCAGTGTTCCTTTTGCATTCAATAAGCTAATTTTTCAGTTAACCCATCAAAATGTTGAAAAGGGATCAGCTTTTGGATGCTGCACCTATATTTTTAAATAAATTATTGGCTTACAAACTTCTCTGATTTCACTAAGGCTTGGGATTAGAAAAAGCTACCCTATGTTTTTCAAGAGACTGCTGAGTCGCTTTATTTTGTGGAGCGTGTGTACGGTGGCCAGTAAATGAAAATCCCGATTTTTTTTTTCTGATGTAAATTCCTGCAGTTTTCCTTTTGGATTCAGTAAGGTGATTTTTCAGTTAACCCAATTTCAAAATGTTGAAAAGGGATCACGTCTAGATACATATATGGGGCTTTTGGATGCTGCACCTATATTTTTAAATAAATTATTGGCTTAGAAACTTCTCTGATTTCACTAAGGCTTGGGATTAGAAAAAGCTACCCTATGTTTTTCAAGAGACTGCTGAGTCGCTTTATTTTGTGGAGCGTGTGTACGGTGGCCAGTAAATGGTTTGTCACCCAGCTGTGTGATAAATGACTGGTGGGCCTCGACACTACACCTGTGCTGGCGTGGCAAAAAATCGCGTTGACTCTGCAGCTTTCCCCTAGGAAAGGAGCAACAGGGCTGGGGCGTAGGCTCCGTATGCCCACCGCAGTCCTGTAACGTAACTCTAAGAAAACTGCTGCTTGGTGTAAAAATCGCGATTTGGTTGTCCCGTTTTGATTTTGGGGAACCTTCTTAATGTATATTTTTCTCTGCTTTCGTTTTTCAGTCTTCGTGATGAGCGATGCTTTCTTGTGGTTGCTAAATCACGCCGAAAGCGTGCCCGTCACTATTTGACGTTTGAACGAGTGGTGTTCCTGTTGGCTTTACAGGTGAGAGAAGCGGCCCAGGCCCTGCTGCTGGCAGAACTGAGGAGAATCGAGCAGGCAGGTCGGAAAGAAACCATTGACGCGTGGGCACCTTATTTACCCCAGTACATCGACAGCGTCATCTCGCGTAAGTAGCGCTGTGCTAAACCCCAGAATCGCTCGGATGCTGGATAAAAAGGTATTTGGTACGTGCAGTTCTGCCAATCTAGGGGAAAAATCTAGTGTTATATAGAAAATTACTCAAAGATTTCGAGGTGGTTTCAGAGTCATGAAGACACTTAAGGCTGCTGATGTCGATTGGGTAAATCGAACACAGGCTGTGCTTTGGAGGTGGCTGTGAAAAGGGCTGGTAAAATGCCAAGGTACTGGTGGTAGCACACATTCCTTCTCAAAGAATGTGTAATTCCGTGACAGAAATGGTTAGAAAAGGACCCTTTGGCATCCCAAGATTATAAAAAGGTTTGGAAAGGCGCTGGTGCATCTGATGCAATTCCTGCTCGGTCGGATGTTCAGAGCCGTGGGTTACCAAGTGTTGCCAGGAGTTACTGGGTAAAAGTTATTCTCCAAATCAATCATATAGCTTCTGACTGCTGCTTAACCTGTTGCCTATTTTCATTTTAGTCGTCGTTATTACAGCAGAGGTTGTACAGACTCTAAAAGTATATTCTTGGAAGCATCATGTCCAAGATCATCATCATCATCCAAGAAACTTGCCGTGTAGAACAGTGTCCCGATGCATCTGCTGCGTCCAACAAACCAGGACAAATTCAGATTTTCATGAATGAGTCTGCTTCCAAGTCATAGCTGCTCACCTCTCCTCAAATGAGGTTCTTTTTCCACTGAAGAATGTCATTTCTAGTCAGAGAAAGATCTCTATTAAATACCAATTGATTTTTGAGAGATGTGTAATAATCTTATTAAATCTAAATTGAGTGCATAAATTACTACGCGGAAGACAGTACTTTAAAGGGATGTTGAGAATTTGCTGGCGAGGCTAAGCTGCTGTTAATTACCGCCGTGGGCCAGGGAGCGTTTGCTCTAGGAGGGGGATGTCGCAGCACCCTCAGGTGTGCAGCCCAGCAGCCAATAATTGAGAAACGTGTGTTGTACGTACGCGTCACACGGGCGGGTGTTGGGGCCCTTTTGTGTGTTAGGATGTCGTTTCTGATTCATCTCCTTCCGAGGTGGGTTATGCTCAGCGTGGAGAATACAGCTGCAGTTGCTCTGTACTCTCAGGAGTAGCTGCATTTGCTCTTTACTCTCAGGAGTAGCTGCTCTGGCAGCTGTTGATGGTTACTAATTTCTCAGCTCTGGAGTGCTGGTGAATGACCTTGTTGGGTACAAGGTTATGGTCTTAATGGCGTTGAAGTGGATATAAGCCGCCAGGTCGTGCCTGCTTTAGCTCATCTGCTGTTTCCAAAGCAGGAACTTCTCTTTAATGTACTTGAAAACAGCCAGGGATTCAGATTTGTTTCAGTAAGTTGCTATTTCTGGTACTCCTCATTAATTAAACGGTTTTAGAGAAGAGTGTGCAGTTCTGTTCTACGTGTGTGTCGGTCGGAAGAGTAATATTTTGCTCTGCCTCTCCTGCTTCTGTATGCAGTTCTGTTCTACGTGTGCGTCGGTCGGAAGCGTAATATTTTGCTCTGCCTCTCCTGCTTCTGTTTGTGCTCAGGTTAGAAGCATGGAATGCCTTTTTACAGCGACAGTCGGAGACTGAATAGCAAAATGGATTTATTTATTTTTTATTAACGGTGTTGAAAGTTGTGAATTAAGTTTACTTTGTGTTCAGAATGACAGCGCTGAGAAGGTATTTGATAGTGCTATTGCCTGGGTAAGTTTAGACACAGCGTCACTGTCCATAGGAGCTTACACAGAGGTGCTGACACTCTGAAGAAGAAGAATTACACTAGCAGGGAGGAGAATCAAAATAATGAGCTACAAATGTTGCTGTTGTTGCTAAAGAGTATTCAAGTGTTTACATCAGTTGTGTGGTAAGACACAACTGAAAACTGGCCTGGTTGTTTGGGTTTTTTTAAAGGTCTGAGGAGCAATTGAAAGGGATAGGAGTTATTTAGGATGGCCAGAATGGACGCAGCGGTCTGGTGAAAAGTGTAGTTTTACGCTAGAAAGGTAAGGAGATGAAATAGAAGAGATTAAAGAAATACCACTTGGATTCCTTTATCTTCCACTTCCCTTGATCTAGGGGTATGAGTTATTATCAGCATATTTTTGCATCCAGCATGATGTAGAAGCCCTGCTTTTCCTGTGCATTAGCAGGACTGTTTAAACGAGATACAAAGTATTTTGTCGTGTGCTTTCAGCCAGCTCCTGAACGAACCAAACGTGTGGTACTAGTGGACAGAGAGGAAATCTTTGGAAATGTTGGGCCTTTAGCAAAACACTTCCTTTCATAATGCCTTGGTTGAATTGTAGGGCTCATGCTGGGAATAACCCAAGATTATAACTGAGCAGAGCATAAACCAGTGGTTTATAAGTTTAATCCCTTGGCATTACATGGCACAATGTGGTGTTCGGTTTCTACTGCATCCCAACCCAGCCGAGATGGGATGAGTCAGCCGAATTCATGTGCTCTGAAAGTCACCTGGAAAAACAGCACTTGTGCCAAGTATCGAGCAGAGATCTAAGAAATTCTGTATTTTGTGGCTAAATAGGTTGTTAGTGCACAGTATGCATCTGATATTTTTAATGATGCTAGAAGACAGCAGAAAAAGAAGAAAACACAGAGATTCACAGTGTGGCAAAGATTTTGACAAGGTAGGTTTGCGAGCAGCCTGCATACAGCACGAAGGCAAACCAGAAAGGAGTTGTTCTTTGCTTCGTCTGTGTTTCGTAGAGCTGCAGCGCGTGGTTCAGGATCTCGAGAGATAATTACTGTTTTTTCCCCAATCTGAGGGTGTTGTGTACCAAAATCACTGACGTCCGTGGGTGTCGGATTGCTTCTTTCAGCCGGAGTGACCACGGAAGCCATTCAGACTGGCAGCGCAAGCCCGGACTCGCTGGGAACTGAAGCAAAAGTTCAAGAAGAGGAGCACGATCTGGTTGACGACGACATCACAGCAGGTGAGCATTGATGTGACGAATGTTATTTTTTGACATTTGAGGTACTGTGTGAAGGAAACACAGCCCTGGCGCATCTGTAGTGAGCCTGGTTTTATCCCCTTCCCCCGTCGAACCTAGTTTATTGGCCAAGCTGCGGGCGTTCCTGTGAAGGCATTTGAGTCAGGCCCCTGATAAAATACCTGGAGCCCCGATGAAGTGCAGTTGTACTTCAGCTCTGCTGGGGTTACTGTGCCTATCCCAGGTCATCTACATTTGATCCGGCTGCAGCCCCTTCCCCCTTCACGTCTAGCTGAAAGATCGCTCTGAGCATCCCGCCAGCTTGTGACCCGGGATCCTTTTTCCCCATTGGAGTCATTTGAGCCCCACCTGGTTTTGGTAGAGCAGGTGGGTCTGTCCTGGAATGCACCGAAAATACCTACGTGAGTGGTCTCTTCTGGATAACTAAAAGTAGAGCAAATATTTTTGCTTAAATAATTCACATGTGGACACCAACATTTTCTCCTATTTTGACATAGAATCCACTGGCTTCGGTGGTCAAAATTTTGCAGTTTGTCTCAAATTGGCTTTTTCCAAATGTAAAACGTTTTAAAGACAGTGTAGTTAACGTATGTGGAAATCCAGCTTTTTGTGCTTTAGCGCAGGTGCAGCCGCATCTCTTGGGAGTGTAAAACAAGGATGTGGCTGAGCAGAGGACGGGGATGAAGGGTGAAACGTCAGGGATGCTGGGGAAAAGGCAGTGGTGTAGGGCATCGCTACCCCCCGCGGGTTTTTTTACTTACAAAGCAAAGGATATAATGGCATAAACAGGCTGTCTTTAGAAATCCACTGAATTTACTTTGTGGAGCTTTTCTGGAAATGAGGAACTTGGAGGTAGTTACTTGAAGAACTTGGAGGTAGTTACTTGAAGAACTTGGAGGTAGTTACTTGAAGGTTGCAAAGTGTTTACCTCCGAGCTCCGCGGCGTGAGCTTAGCGATGGAAATACGGAAGGGATTGGGGCCAGCGTGGCATATCTCCTCCGTACTGCGTGGATTCCTCTTGTAGTTAATTGGCAGAAACTCCTGGCAGGTTTGGAATGAATTTAGTTCTAATTAATTCCCAGGGTAACTGTAGATGTTTCCAGAGTTAGCAGAGGTGTTCGTACTGCTTGTGGTTGTAACGGGAGTGACTTTTGCCACAAAGAGCTTGTTCAGATCTCTGACCTCCTAACCTGGACAACACCGCCAGCTCTTCAGCATTGCACAAGGTGGATTTTTTCCCTGGTAATCAAAATACACTTTCTATAGTCGCGTAACGGAGTCTCCGTTGAGCACAGGCTAACGTGTGGCTTGTGTGTTGTACAGACACGGTTGTTCCTGGAACGGGAGAGATCCAGCAGTTACAGCAGCACACGTGCAAAAGTTTATATGGAAACTAAAAGCTGCCGGGAATGCTGCTGGTAGATGTTTGTCAGCTGGAAAATGTGCTCTTTGACATCTTTTTTTCAAGATGCACAAATCTACTTTTGTGCATAACGAGTAGCATTTTTTCCTTCAACAGGCCAAGTCAGAAGCAAGAGACAGTGCTAGATTAACCCATTCTCTACCCTTAAAAATAGCTTTGTAGTCAGTGACAGTATTTGTCTGTGTCAAAGATTCGCAGCAGGGACTATTTGTTTCTTGTGATTCATCTTAAATCTTAGACTGTAAAAGGAGAAAATATTTCAACAAGCTACAGACTGAAAGTCGTGGACTGTCATCTGTTAAGTCATATGCTATGCTTTATTTTCTCTCTTGATTTTTGATTTTTAGTAACATACTGAGCTTTTGGACTGCTCTGGGGGTTTCTCTTCATTCTCTTTCCTACTGCTGAAGCTGGACTTGTTTGAAGGGGAGCGACAGGTGCCGTTGCCCCTTGCATCCCTCCCATTACCAGCCAGGCTTCTGCTGAAAATTTGGGGTGGAGTGGAGGTGCACAACAAACGAAACCATCTGCCATCCCCAGCAGCCAAGCCAGCAGCCCACTGTTCCGCACAATGAGGGTGCCAAAAGAGCCAGTCGTGGGAAAAAAAAAACTGGGTTTCTTTCAAGTAGGTTAGACGGCACCTGAGCACCTTCCACAAACCCCCTCCCCGGCACGTAGCTTTTTGGGTCTCCGGAGAGATCAAAGCAGCTTTTAATTTGTGTTTAATCACTCGTTGGAAAGCCCTCTACAATACCATGCGCTGACTCGCATGCAAAACGCCAGAAAAGTGAGGTTTTATCATCTCAAGCCAACTTCCTCCCTTTCAGATGCTAATTATGAAAGCAGCAAATGCACACCGAGTCATTTCTGCCACGTGGCCTTTGCTGTTGCAGTTAAAAACTGAACATGAAATCACAGGCGCAGGTATTTAGCGTGTAAAAGTTAGTTTTAAATGGAGTTTTCCTGCTTATTAACAGGAGAACTGAAGCACCTTGAGAAACTTGTCGAACAGCTAGGTAATTGTATCCCAAGCTAATGGAGAACCGAGGTCCCTACAATTTGTAATTACCTGTCTACACGGAAGCATGAAGTTAGGAGCAAAATTCTGTGGTTTGCTTTGGTTTCTTTGGGGTTTTGTAGGGAGCACAATTCCTGTGAAAACGCTGGGAGTTTCGACAAAGCCGTGTGTGTTTGCAAAGATGGGGGCATCTGCCAGTCAAGCAGCTGTCACCCGGTAAACTCCACTGAGAGCTGCGTGACATCTGTCCGAAGGGCATCTGCCGGCGTTGGGGCGTGCTACGGGCAGTCCTTAGAGAAGTTCTGATTCAAGAAAAGTGGTTGCTTGCGGGGCGGCTCCTAATTAGCGGAGGAGTGTAAAGCAGGGCAGTCGCAGAACCCGAGCTGTGCTCCTGCCTCGAGCACGGGCTGCCACGTGTCCAGGTATAATATTCAAATAACGTTTAGAAATCACACTTAAGAATACTGAAAAGATTTGCAAGGAGCTTGGCAAAAAAAAAGTTAGCACCCTCGAATAAAACTTTTTCTAAATTTATGTATGTGCTTACACCGTGTTGTACCAATTCAGAGGCAGCAAGTAACTTTTCAAATGTAGAGATACTTGCTTCAATCACGTGTTTCAGTGCAGTCGGTGTTAACACAAAAGCCATATTTGCTTTTGAATAAAGACTGTGTTAAATATTGATTTCTTGAGCGTCGCGTGACAAGCGGTCCTCAACGTGCGTTCAGCCGCACAGGCTTGCTGCTGTATTCGAAAATGGCCCTGGTTTCCTTTGGTTTTGTGCGCTTCCCGATATCTTTACTTACTTGGTGATATCCAGCTTGACGCTAAGCCTGGCGTCCCGTGTCCAAGCGGGGTCAGCCCTTACGTGGTCTTTTTTTGTGTGTGGAAGTGGGAAGCAGGTGCCCGCGTGTGCTCGGTACGGCAGCGCGGTGTGAGAATCCGTCTGCGACTCTTGGCTGGGATTCTTTTGTTGTTTCGATGGCAGATGTCTTCTTCCAGCACTGCACAAGGCTCCCTTTGTGCCGCAGTTACTCCGAGGAATCGTATTAACTCGGAAAAAGTGAGTTCTTTTGGCTTAGAAGTAACACTTAGACCTTCCTGGTGTTCTGGCTGCTCGTCTTCTCTGGTGTTAGACCAAAACGCTCCAGCGTGATGTTTTCCTTAACACAAACAAAGACTTGACAGATCGTTACAGTCAAATTCTTTACGACTTCCTGAGACATAGAAGCAGAGTTTTGAAGAGACACAGGTTATAAAAGCGACGTATTAAATGGGACTTCTCTGATCTTCTCCTCATTCCTGAACCGCCATCCTTCACCTTCCTGCACCTTTGGGCAATAAAGGACATTCTTCATAAAACTAATTAGTTCAATTGACATGCCTTAAAAATGGTGTTTCCTTAGTTTGTGTCGTGGTTTTTCCGAGTGGATTGCTGAGAACAGCTCTGAAGTTCTGAAGACCCGTTCGTGCCCCTTAGCAGCTGGGTTTATGGCATTTTGTAGCACCTCGTCTGGATAGACGGGTTTTCAGGCTGGCGGGCTCCAGGCATCTGCATAAGATAGTAGAAGACTGATGGAAGTTTAAAAAAGGCGAGCAAGACTTTTATTGTATTGGAAATAGCTTGTTTCAGCTGTGGTTTGGGCAGCTGCAACTGTTCAAAAGTAAAACAGAATGCAAACGTATTGAGCTATGGAAAAAGATGATTGTTTCAGTAGTACCTCTTATATGCAAAAGCTTGAATTTTTGCCTACTTGCGCAGGAGAGAGGGCGATTAGAGGCTGTCCGCTTCATTCTTTTGCTGGTCTTTGCGCTTTGATAAATAAATAGATCATCTAAGATTCAATAGGCCAATTGCAGCATATAATAGCTATTCAGAGGCAATTAAACTGCCTTTCTTCACGCCGGCGTGTGAGCGTGCCCTTTCACAACCTTCAACTTGATTTGTGGTGCTTCAAAATTAACTTAAAAGTCTTGTTTGCTGACAGCTTAAAGCTTAATTGACTGAAAGCCAAATAGAGTGTGTTCTGCATTCAGTGCGCGAGCCCTGGCGAAAGCCGCGCGTGCCGAGAGGCGCCCCCGCCGGGGTGGGAGCCGCTGCCTCGGCGTGAGGTTATGCAACGTTCTTAAGGACTGATAATCCATTTCCAATTAAAACCTGTGCTTAAGCAGCCAGGATGTGTCCTGGTCCGTCAAAATCAGAAACACCTTAAACTGCCAGGCGTTATACGATGGGTCCCAAGAATATAACGGCAGCTCTCGGGTTTTCTCCCATAAGCTCTGTTGACGTGCAAATCAAATTTCCATCGGGAGGAGCTAAAGGGCGTGCGTTCTGATATCGCTCTGTTTCTTATTGATTTCTTGGGTGTCTAATTTCTCCTGCCTTCCTCTTGATTCTAAGCAGGAACAACATCTTTTCATAAAGCATCCAAAAAGTTGCCGTTTGGTTTCGAAGTGCCCCCGATTTAAAATAGTTTTACTCGCATGTTCTTTTTGATAAAATAATAATCGTGCTTCAGAACGTGAAATCCAGATTTGTA